TTGACCAGGCCCTGCGGGAAGCTGGCCAGCGCGCCTGGATCCAGGGTCAGGCGCACTGAAGAGGCCTGGGCCAGGGAACCCCGCAGCGCGCGCACCAGGCGCGTGAGCGTCTCCAGGAAGGGGTCGGTGCCGGGCGGCAGCTCCTCGGGCTCCAAGGAGGGCTCCAAGGACCGCCTGGAATCCACAGTGGGAGCCAGTGTCACTAGGGTGTCAGGTTGCGCTGCCCCCACCTTCTCTGGCCCGCTGTTCTGGGGCCTCCGCGTACCTGGACGGTGGGAAGGGCATCGTATCCAGTTGGCCGTGCGCAGGCAAAGGCCTAGGCCCAGATCGTGGCAGCAGGAGTAGGGCAGGGGTCATCCGCGTGAAGCAGCGGGGGTCGGTCCCAAACATGAGAGTCTGCAGCTGGGCCGTGCTCAGGGTGGCACCTACGCAGGGAGTGGGGGCCGGCTGGCTCAGGGGCTGGGGCCCAGGGTAGCTTCCTACTGCCTGGTTTCTCATTCCCCCTACACCCTGCCCCATCCTACCGTCTCCATGGGGCTGCAAGGTCAGGGCAAGCCCTGGGCCGTGCCAGGCCCCCTCCGGGTGGTCCACAGCCAGTGCCAGATAGCGAGTATCCGGGGTCGGGCAGAGTCTCTGTGGAGATGGGGGCCCAGCCTGGCCTTGCACATCTTTTCTGACTTTCTGTGCTGGCAGTCCTCCACATTACCCTTGGAGCCCCCTCCCAAGCAGCCCAAGGGCCCCACGCAGCTGTTTTCAGGTACCTGGGCAGCTGGCAGCCCAGCCCCAGTGACAGTGACTTCGGGGCCAGGCCCAGGGTACAGCACCAGCAGTGCCTGCTCCTGGGGGATGACTGCTCCAGATGGGGGCTCCTGAAACCTCAGCAAGGGTGTTGGGTCCCATGTCACTGCAGCCAGGAGAAGGGGGCTGCTGAGCCAGAGGCTGAGCTATCCCCAGGTAGCCTCTTTCCAGTGGACAGAGAACCTGATCAGATGGGCCAGAGGTCCGAGGAGACTCGGCCCTGCTCCCAGGATGCCAGGTACGTTCCTCCCAGGAGGGACAGTGGCCTTTCTCCCTGCTGCCTTCCACGGAGTGGGCAGTGACCATGTCTGAAGGATGTAGAGGACCTGGGCACCTGGGGAGGGCCCTTCCCTGGGGCTTCCTCCTTGGTTGGGAGCGGGCCACCTGGGAGCCTCCCACCTGATCCCCAACTTCCAGGCATGAGATGGAGGGCACAGCACTCTACCTCAGAGAGGACCCCACCACCCTTAAATATGAGGAGCTGCACTTGGGCCTCTGGGTCCCCCAAGTACCTTCTGCCAGGTGCAGGATCAGCAGCCGCTGCCCTCCAGGCTCCTGCAGCCAGGCCCCTAGGTGCTGCAGAGCAGGCAGGACAGCCTGGGTATGGCCAGGGCTGCAGACCCCGAAGGTGGCCAGGTCATGTGGTCCCCAGCGGGTGCCCTGCACAGCCTCCAAGAAGGCCTGCTCGTAGCTACTCAGGCCCCCCACCACCTGCAGAGGGCTCCCACTCCCATTGCTAGCACTGCTCAGTGTCACCAGGCACACAGGGTCTCGTGGACTACCCAGCGGCTGGACCCAGTCTTCAGGGAAAATGAGGCTCCTGGTGCCAGCAGCCAGCTCTTCTCCAGGGGTCTTGGTCCCCAACACAGCCCCCAGGGCCAGCAGCACTAGGGGTGGCTGGGTGAGAGGCAGCCCCTGCATGATGGGTGTGCCAGGAATGGGTGGCCGGCCTGGGCTTATATGGCTGGGGTGGAATGTTTGGGGGAGGGAGGCCCCTATCTCCTCTGGAGGTGACCTTGGGGACAAAACTGTGCCCCACCAGGGGCCTGGGCAGGTGGGAGGTGGCCTTCTCAAAAGGTTTTCTGTCTTACCCTGGCCGTGTATCCTTGCTTTCACCAGATAGAGCTCAGCCCAACTGCACTGAGCACAAAGCTGTCCTTGAGGGGTTGTCCACTGGGACTAAACAGCCCTGGGGCAGCAAAGCCCAGAGCCCAGAGCCCCAATGGAAATGGGGGCAGTAGAGGCACCTGTGTTGCTGGGGCTCCCCAGGACCCTGCCACTCATCCATTGTTTTTGGTACCGGGATGGAACGTAGGACCTTGTGCTTGAGGCAAGTATGGCACCCGAGCTAAATGCCCGGCCCTCACCCACTTATTCTGAGACAGGGTCTATGTATATAGTTCATCAAGCTGGCCTTGGACTATAGGCCAGGGTGGCACTGAACTTTTGGCGATCCTCCTGCCTCAGCCTCCTGAGTACTAGGATTACAAACCTGCACCACCATGCCCAAAGTCCTTACCCACTTCTTGGGCCCCAGTTAAGGCACCACAGCTGGACACCCAAGTGCAAAGGGATCTCTCCTGCTCCAGACAGGGTGAGTGCAGCTGTCCCGGGCCACAGTGTGGCCTGTGAGTGTAGAACTCGTGTGTGTGTGTGTGTGTGCACACACTCACAAGGATGTATCACAGAGCCCTGCCACTGGGCCCTCACTAGGCAAACAGCCACCACCTCGCCTCTCCTGGGCCAGAGCCACCACAGCAATCCATGAGACATGGGGGAGGCTGTTTAATGGGCTCTGGGGACAATACAAAAGCTCAGGCCCTCTGTGGGAAAATACAGAAAAACAAGCAGCCAGACAGAACAGGGAGGGCAGGAGACTCCTCAGTTGGTTGGGGGAGGGGGAGGAATGTTCCCAGGGCCCTCCGAGGGGAGAGGGGGCCTCAGCATTGGAGGCATGGGAGTTGGGGGGTGTACCCCAGGATTGGAGGGGTGAACTCCAGGAGGCTGGGGGTGTACCCCTGGAGCTGCAGGATGGACCCCAGGAGGCTGAGGGTGGACTCCGGGAGCCTGTGGGTGAATTCCGGGGGCTGGAGGGTGCACACCAGGGGCCTGCGGGTGAACTGC